GGGGGGGGGGGGGGGAGGCTGGCCGGGGGGGGCGTGGCCAGGGTGGGCATGGCCAGCTTGACATCACTCATGTTGGGGCTGCCTGTAGTGACCCGAGCACTCTGCTGAGCTCTGTTTTCAGTTGGGATGGTCTCCTGCAACTCTCTGTCAGTGAAAACGGAGCTCGGGAAAGCTGTGTGCGGTTCTTGCGAGCTCCATTTTCATTGGTAGAGGCACCACAGGCCGGTCTTTTGTTATTTCCAGGGTGGTCTCATGGGTCAGATCAGTGGTGGGATTCAGCCAGTTCGCACCACTTTGGGAGAACCAGTTGTTAAACTTTCTGAGCAGTTTGGTGAACTGGTTGTTGGAAGAAATCATTAAGGCAGAGAACCTTGAGTTTGACACCCCTGTTCTACACCATCTTTTTCCAAAGTTGGCAACTTTAAAACGTTTGAACTTCAACTTCCAGAATTCCCCAGCCAGTTTAGACTTTAAACAGCTTTTATTTGATCAGCCACTGAAGAACTGAAACAAAATAAAAGGGGGGGGGGAAGCAGCTGCCTCCCTTTCTTCAGCAGCATTTTCTTCTGTCTCTTCCCTTTTGTTTTTATTTATTGATCATTGCTTTGGCATCAACTGTTGTAATACTGCTTCCTCTGATACAGTATGCCATATGGGACTCTGTGTTCATTTTCTCTTCCTAGGATCTGCCAATTACTTCCACTGCTTTTTAAGCTCTGAGTTTACATCATCATTCTATTGATATTACCATTTCACAGGCATTTGGGCCACCTGTGCAACCATGGTTGACGAAATACTGTTATACTTTTATAGCATTCCAACATAATCCAGACGAGTGCCAGTAGCCTCAGCATGGACAAATTTGAAAAAACACTGTTCCACACCAATACTTGTAATAATAGTGCTGTGGGGAAAAAAACCCCAAATATATATGAAAACACTGGAAAGGGATAAATGTTCTGGGTTATCTATTATACAGTACTTGTCATCTTGACTCTTAATGTTAAAACCAGATTATTTTTTAAGTGAGGAGTGTTACATCCTTTATGCTTCCATTATTCAGTTCCTGCTCCATTTCCATCTGCATCTTGCATTTCCATAAAAGCGTCCCCTGAGCTGGGGTCATAGCAACTAAAGGGTATAGAATGGTATCAAATCAATGCCAATTACATTTCCATTGTAAAAAAAAAAAAAGCTTAACATCAGCAGCACAATCTAAACCAGAAAACACACAAATCAGATAGAGGAGGATCATCAACACTTGATTTAAGATGCATCGTTCTAGCCAAGTTTAGAAATTTAGGCTACGCAGCAACTATTTTTCCCCTTTGGAAACAGCTAAAGTACAATGACATCCAATGTGGCGTCTGCAGACTTTGGCAAAATTCTCTCTGGCTAAGTATGGCAGGGTGTGTTTATTTGTGTCATCCCTCCCTTCCCTCCCCCTGCACTTCTTTTTCTAGACAGTTCTCTAGGAGTTGAACTCCACACACTTTAAAGTTCCTGAGATTGAGAAATACAATTCTAGACCCCTAAATGAGAATACAGAGTAACAATAGCAGTAGACTTAGCAATAGCAGTAGACTTATATACCGCTTCATAGGCCTTTCAGGCCTCTCTAAGCGGTTTACAGAGAGTCAGCATAT